ATTGTGTTCACCGACAATGTTTTCTGGAAGTATTCCTGAGCCCATGTTGTGATTTCCATTACAGTAGCATTCCTGTATGTGTTGCAGTGCCGTCTAAGGGCCTGAAGATCACGGGCATCCAGTATGGTTTTCTGGCCTTGACCCTTACGCATGGAGATTGTTCCAGATTCTCTGAATCTTTGGATGATATTATGCACTGTAGATGATGATAACTTCACACTCTTTGCAATTCTTCTCTGAGAAACTCCTTTCTGATATTGCTCCACTATTTTTTGCCGCAGCATTGGGGGAATTAGTGATCCTCTACCCATCTTGACTTCTGAGAGACACTGCCACTCTGAGAGGCTCTTTTTATACCCAATCATGTTGCCAATTGACCTGATAAGATGCAAATTGGTCCTCCAGCTGTTCCTTATATGTACATTTAACTTTTCCAGCCTCTTATTGCTACCTGTCCCAATGTTTTTGGAATGTGTAGCTCCCATGAAATCCAAGATGAGCCAATATTTGGCATGACATTTCAAAATGTCTCACTTTCAACATTTGATATGTTATCTATAGTCTATTCTGAATAAAATACTGGAATTTCAACCTTCCACATCATTGCATTCTGTTTTTATTCACATTTTGTACAGTGTCCCAACTTTTTTGGAATCGGGTTTGTACATTTCAGACGTATGTTAAACTCTGCAGCCCACTTTGTGCTACACAGCAAGATGGGAAAATTAGCTTTAAAGCAATGTTAAGTATTGGATTTAATTTAAAGTCATGACGTATATCCTTAAGATTTCAGATGTGGTTTATTTTACTAACACCTTTGGTTAATGGTGGTTACCGAATTTTGTTGTGTGAAATTACACGCTTTTGGCGGCTTCTGTCACAAAAATGCTACAGAAAATGAGCAAGACGTGCATCTGGATTATTACTCCTATTTTATATGAAAATTCAGAGGGGTTTATTTTGTAATCTGAGAAGTGGGATTATCCGAAGGTTTTCTTTTCAAATTTGTTGCACTGTAACTCAAAAACCTTCAATGGAAACATATCTCAAACAACAACCACCTCTGACACCTCTCCTTTTACCTAATTCTAGTTGATTACAACTCTTATCTCATTGCAGTATTGTAGGTGTGGCCATGTCATTCACAGAATCTCAGATCTAAAATGGTTCATTAAACATATTTCAGTTTTCAATAGTTAATAGACTATATTGTGAATATTCAGACATTTAACCCTGCCCATGCTCTGTAATGCTATTGCTCTGTCTTTATACTTGAATAGTGTAGGACAGTCACATAAAGGTTTTTAAGTAGGCAGATTGCCAAAGACACTTCATGGAAAAAGTACTTTGGGTCTGACATGAGAAAATGTCAGAACATTATCAGGATGATGTGCATATCTGAACAGGTCTTAAGTGAAAATCCAGGGGTGGGGAGATGAATGGTGGAGTCTGAATGGTGAGAAATGCTGTGGTTAGGGTTAGCTGGGTTTGCCTGTCACAGCAGTGAATAGATTAAGGCACCAGTCACTGCTGAAGTTGCTGGAGCACAGAAGACAGTCTTGTCTTTCTTCCTTTATCTTAGAGACACCCAAAATCCAAACACCAACACACACAGTCTGGAGCCCAACAGGTGTTCAAGGTTAAGTGGGAAACTTTCTTCTCACACCAACACAAACACATGCCCTGAGGCCTGAAAGAGGAAAAGTTGCATGCTGGCTTCTCGCCTACTTGATTCTGCTTCACACTATTATGGAGAAGACAGACAACCAAAGTGTCAAGTGGCAAAAGAGAGGGATCACTAACTTATTAACAGAACGACTAACAGTGTGAATATGTACAAGCCTGATTTATTCTGTGAGAAACTAAAAGTAAGATTAGTGAAGTTGTATTTCTAGTAGGCACAGTTGCAACTAAAAAAAATGCATTTCCTGTCGAAAATGCATGTGGATGCTGTGATGCTGAAGGATCGCCCTGAAAATGCCTGAAATCAATTGCTGAAACAGCTGAAGGATGAGTAGAAATTGCTGAATTTCTTTGTTAAAATGGTTGAAAAGAAATGGCTGAAGTTCTTTGTTGAATAATCTGAAGGATGAGATACAATAAATACA